TCTCTCTCTTCCTCTCTCTCCCTCCCACTCTATCTGTACAAAAAATGGAAAAATGTCCTCGGGTGAGGATTAAAAAAAAAACAAAAACAAAAACCAGCCTCCTTCTCGTCCACCTACTTGCTGCTTAGATCTCCATTGTCTTCCCCTTCCCACTAGGGGACACCAGCCCTTCTGGTTCAACATTTGTCAGCTCCAGTCAGTGAGACCATGTCATTAGCTGTCCCGGGAGGACTATTTCCCTTTTCCCAAACCTGGGAATCCTTGGGATCGATGGAGCTGGAAGGTGTGTGAGTAGCACAGAGTAGAAGAGCAACTGTGAGTGGACAGCGGGCAGCTGGCAGACTCAAGAGACTACAACATGAGGCACATCAGAGATACCCTTTCCTCTCTTCCTGGAGGGTCCTTTTTCTTTTTTATTGTGAGAAAATGGCTCTGCATAAATCTACTTGTTGTAATTGAGTTAAATTTACAACAGGCTCAGTCTGGCGCATATTTAGTAGAATATACCTAACTGTTACTGGGTTGCATGGCACTCAGGCACACTCTGTGAGCAATTTACTAATGTATTTTTTTTTTTTTTAATTCAGCTAACCTACACTTTGTTCTTCTCATCTCACTTTACTTGTCTAGCATCTATAATTGGCACTGATGGTGTTCCATGATAGTGCTGTATTAATACCACATGAGCACGTCACACTTTCTAGTGATTATTATCCTGTAGAGGAAATTACAGAGTTCTGTGCATAACTAACAAATGGAAGGGGCCGGTACTGTGTCCTTATTCTGGTTTTCTGATTTCAGCCTATCAATCTAGCAACAATATCATGTGCTGTTGAAAGAATGATGGGCTTTCAACAATATCATCCCTCTTACCCAGCACACCTGAAGGTCTTAGGACCTCATTTGCCAATAGCAGAGGGGAGGGTAAAGACATTCTAGCAGCAAAGTGAAGCGAAGCTTTGGATGCCGGAGTTGATGGTCTCAGGTTAAAGGGTGGGAGGGGTGGAAGAAGCTTTAAAGGAGGTGGGGCTGACAGCACAACCTAAATGCTCTCTATCCCGCTTCCCCACTCCAGCCTGCACCTGGACAATGGCGAACAAGCCCTGTGGTGTGGCTCAGTTGGTTGGGCATCGTCCCATGCAGCAAAAAGTTGCCTGTTCGATTCTGGTCAGGGCACAAGTAGGCTGGATTCCTCATAGGGGGTGTGCAAGAGGCAGCTGATCAATGTTTCGCTTTCACATTGATGTTTCTTTCTCTCCCTCCCTCCTCCTTCCACTCTATCTAAAAATTAATTTAAAAATCTTAAAAAAAAGAAAGAAAAGCAGAACAAATCAATACCAGAGTCAGTCTTATTGTAACTAACACTAGGAAGAAGAAATTCCCAGCCAAAGGATGGCTTCTCTCACTTGTGTATTGCTCAAAGAGACACAGCATTTTATTCCAAAACTAGAAAAAAGGCATAAAAGTGGGTAAAAAATGTGAAGGCTCTCACCTCTGAGTATCTGACTGGAGGGGGCTGGGGAGAAAGCCTTGGGAGGGTGGGGGACAGGTGCAGCAGTGAATGGGAGGTGTGTGGAGGAAGGTGGCCAAAACGGACATTGAAGAGACCACGAACTTCCCCACTTGCCAGTGTAGCCACATGGTCCTGGCACCACACAAAGAGATTAATCTTCCCTCTAATCTTTTCTATTTTAGAATGCCATGACTGTTCCTTTGGGAGCAGAAGTGTTCTCCACTTATTTCCTACTATGAAACTTCCTTTAATGGGCTTGCCAAGGACAGAGGTCACGCTATCTCCGATGGCGATCAGAATTGCACCATGGCCTGGGGACTAAGCTGCTTGTTTCAGACAGTTGGAACAGCAGTCAGAATTCTCATCTCACTTTGCGGTAGTCATGTGAACATTTTTTTTCTTGGTCACTGAACCTCTGTACAACTGCAGAAGAGGTGACGGGAAAGTGTGAAAAGATGCTAAAGCCAGTTGAGCAATCTGTTCTCCGTAGGCTTGGGAGCCCCCAAATAAAAAGCTGCTTCAGAACAGGTCAAAGTGTGTGGGGACAGCCATGGTTGCCATAGTAATCAACAAATACGTCTGGGTTGCAAGAGGCTCTGCCCCGGAAGAGGACGCTGGCTTTTGTTACGAAATTTGTGAACTTTTTCCCTCCACTATTTAGTTTCAAAGTTGTTCATCGTGATTAATTAGTTATTACCTGCAGTCCATTTCTGCCTAGGTTTGGTGCTAACACAGGCCCCCACTTCCCTCTCTGCTGTGGTCAGAGTCGGGTGTCTGACCTCTCTTATAGCACACAGAGGTTTACGAGAACCACAGAAAAGCACACAGGAGTGTGGCAAGGAGACCAGGGCGCTGTTGTGTGACTAACCATTGTGGCCCTCATTCCATTACAATGGGGATAAAAATATCTACCTACCTACCTTATGGGGTTTTGTGAAGATGCATGTGACTTTCGATTTATTCGAAATGTTTAGTGCGTTTTATTCACTTAAGAGGGAGCATAATAATTTAACTTCTCAAACTTCGGATAGAACGCTCATTACAGATGACTAACATATTTCCTCTTATGTGTCAATCCTAACTGAATGCTAGTAGCTGCCTCTGTGTTGAGGATTCTGAGGCTGCATCCGAGCTCCCCTAGCGGTGATAGCGATCATCTAGCAACGTCTGCTATGTGCCCAGGAGGGAGAAGCGAGGTTTAGGCTGTCCTCTGGGGCTCCCACGCGGCATTTGGAGGTTGAGCCTTCATTCATCATTGCTCTGAAGCTTGTTTGATGCTGTTCTGCTAGCACTGACCCATGAGAGATACACACTTAACATTCCAGGTTGAAACCTGTAATGATTTTGGTTCTTTTTAAAACACCGGTTTGGCTCAGCGGTTAGAGCGTCGGCCCGCGGACCACAGAGGTCCGGGTTCGGTTCCCGCTTAGGGCACGTTCCTCCGTTGCAGTTTGTCCCCGCCCTGATGGATTGTAGACACGCAGTGTGGATGCAGAGAGATCAGTTGGGAAGCTCTCTTGGAAGTGGAGGGGAGAAATGCTGCTGGCCTGGCTGAGGGTTTAGTAGTAGAGATGAGAGGTTGTTGGATTTGGCCTGTATTTTCAACAGAGAGACAATGGGACTTGCTAATGAATTGGATATAAGGAAGGAAGGCATAAAAATGATGATGTCCAGGTTTCTAGTCCCATTTCTGGGGAAATGATAATCCATTTACAGAGATGGGGAACAATGAGAGGGAAGCAGATAGGGAGGTGTGGGGCATGGCGTGGAAATCAAGAGTTTAATTTGGGATATGAGAAGTCTGAGTGAAAATTTCACACCCCAGTGAAGTAGGCAGTAGGACATATGCTGGGGGTTCCCAGGAAGAGGGTGGGACTGGGGATTTTAATCTGAGCATAGAGAAAATAGAAAATAGATGGAACTGTTCTACAGAGTTAAATGTGGATGGAGAGGAAGTCTCAGGACTGATGCCCGAGGCCCCCCAAAATGCATCCACTAGAAAGAGGATGCAGCAGGGGAGACCGACAGAGCAGCCAGCCAGTGTCTAGGACGGAATCTAGGAGACAGCGCAGCGGTTGGGAGCCAAGGGCAGAGAGTAGTTCAAGAGACAGGAAGTGCTTCCTCTCTCTTTGTACACACAAAAACACTTGCATACACACATTACATGAATATACACAAGTATATTTTTATATGGAATATGTACATTTTTACACACATATAAGGGCTTCTTCATTTATCATAAGTACTTCCTCATACCCTTAAAATTCCTAAATATATTATTTTGAATGGCTTTATTGTATTCCACCCTCCTGGATGTAACCTTGGCATGAACATCCTTTTATGTACATCCTGTGTTACCTTGGGTTAAATTCCTGAAATGGAATTACTGGTGGATATAACAGCTTTAGGGCTTTTAATACATGTTGTCAGATTACCTTTCAGGAAGGTTGTACCAAGGTTGTATACTCCAGCAGTCAACTGAAAAGTATTTGGCAACTACTGTTACCATTAAAAAAAAAAAATGTGTGTACACACACTCACACACAAATAATATATATAACTCTCATTTTTTTCTATTTTCATAACTTGATTAATGGAGGTTTCAGTACAAGGCTTCTTGTATGCAGTCTGAGCAGTGAGCAAGTTCATCTCTGTACTCAAAACTTCTAAAGTATGAAAAAAATGAGCATAGACATCACCCAAGTCAGCTATTCAGGCCAAGAGGGCTGGGGAGGAGGCGAAAAGCTGGTTTTGAGCCAGTTTCTAGGTTGAGGGGTGGAGTAGATCTCGGTCAGCAGTACAGGAGACTGTGTGGTTCCCACAACTTACATCGCCTCCCCCCCTGCCTGACTTCCTGTGGGCCCAGCCTGGGAAAGGGCGTGGTCACGGAGAGGCAGAAGTAACTCCTAAGTGCAGCAGTGAGAGCCCAGATATGATAGTTGGCGGAGTCTCTGTTGCCTTGTGAACAACAGCCTCAATTGCCCAACTAAACAACAAACATGTGCCAGAGGGACTTAGGCAGACTGTCCCACATACAAGGTCCCTTGCTGACTGGGTGGAGCATTTCAGTTCTGACAAGCCTGGTCTCTGTGTGGAGACATAAGAATCCTCTGCTTAGCCTTTCTGGGCATCTGTCCAGCTGGAGTGGAAAGACCCTGTGTGTTGTGAAATGCAGCAGGTCACAGCCTCATGCTGTTGGTCTGCAGCATTGCAAAGGACAATTGCGCCATGCTGCTAGGCTCTGCGTGTGGAAATCGCAGATACTGAGGTGATAGCAATCTTAAGAATATGTGGAACGTAAAGATAGGCTGAAAATGGGGACTGTGGCAGTCTTGTATGTATTATTTCTCATTTTATAACCATGCTAATTGGAACAAAAATCTTTAAAAAAAAAGCAACCCAAAGAGAAAGAGAAAGCATCACATTTTTTTTTTTTTGGTGTTTTTTGCTTTCTAGATGGCACTAACACTTGTTTTATTTTCTATAGCAGCCAAGAAAGAATTCCTGAGCGAGTACAACCATGTAAATTAGCACAGGCCACAAATCCAAAGGAAATCATTCTGTGAGAAGTTAAAAATGAAAATGGAGTCCGGATGGTGTTGCTCAGTGGATTGAGTGTCATCCCATGGACTGAGAGGTCCCAGTTCGATTCCTGGTCAGGTGATTGATGTTTCTCTCTCACATCAATGTTTCTATGTCTCTTTCCCTTCCTCTCTCTAAAAAAATCAATAAAAACATATTTTAAAAAATTTAAAAATGAAAATGGAAAGTTTTTAATAGAAATAAGGCTAATATTTCGTTTCTTCAGATTTTTTTTAAATTGATAAATAATACATCTTCATCATTCAACTAATGGAGAAATACATAAAATAAAGCTAGTCTTCTCTTGGTCCCTCAAAGCTCACTCCTATTCTCTAATAGTTTGGTATGTATTTTCCAGAACTTTGTTCATACAATTACAAACATTTATTTAAGAGTATATTACATGGCCTATGTATAGAATGTTTATGAAACTGCCAGCATATAGTTAGTGTTCAGTAATATGTACCCAAACATATAATTTAAAAAAGTGAGATTATACTATAAAAATTCTGTGACTTGTTTTAAATTTTATTTAAATGCAATTTCTCTGCTTCTCAGCAAGTAGTTTAGTTAGACCCATGCTTTATAACGACAAAAGACAAAAACATTTTTTGAGCCAAAGACTACCAGATTCATTCATTCAACTATAATTGTTGCCTGCCAACTATGTATCAAGCTTCGTCCAAGGTACTGGGAGTAAATGAAATGATAAAAATCCTTAAAATAGCAATAAATACATATTTATCAACATAAAATAGCAATAAATACGTATTTATCAACAATTACTTTATTTATTTATTTTAAAGAAAGGATTACTTTTATTATTTATTTATTTATTTGTTAAAATATTTTTTTATTGATTTTTTTTGGAGAGAGAGATAGAAACGTCGATTTGAGAGAAACATCAATTGGCTGCCTCCTGCACGCCCCCTACTGGGGATGGAGCCTACAACCCAGGCATGTGCCCTGACCAGGAACCAGGACGTTTCAGTTCATGAGATGACTGAGCCACACTGGCCCGGCTATCCATAATTTTATAACTATGCTAATTGGAACAAAAATCCACTGAGCCACACTGGCCAGGCTATCAACACTTATTTTATTTTTATTTATTTTATTTTTTTTATCCTCACCCGAGGACATTTTTCCATTTTTCGTTCAGACCAGGGCCGGGGAAAAACTGTAACCGAGGTACATGCCCTTAGCGGGAACCGAACCCAGGTCTCTCTGGACCGCAGGCCAATGCTCTAACTGCTGAGCCAAATTGACCAGGATTCAACACTTAATTTAAATACAAATCAATCAAAAGACATGTGGAGGTTGACTGGATAACAAAACAAGACCCTTGCCACCTGCAACAACATGGATGCACCTAGAGGATATTGTGCTGAGTAAAAAAAGTGAGACAGAGGAAGACAAATGCCATATGATTTCACTTATATGTGTGATCTAGAAAACAAAATAAACAAGCAGAACAGAAACAGACTCATAGATATAGAGAACATTTTGACGGTTGCCAGATGGGAGGGGTGTTGAGGGGATAGGTGAAAAAAGTGAAGGAATTAGGAAGTACAAATATGTAGTTATAGAATAGTCATGGGATGTAAAGTACCGCATAGGAAATATAGTCAGTAATATTCTAATAACCATGTATAGTGTCAGATGGGTACTAGAATTATCACGGTGATCACTTAGTTATATAATGTTTAATCACTGGGTTGTATACCTGAAACTAATATAATATTATATGTCAATTATAATTGAAAAATAAAAAATTATTTACAGTGAAAAAAAGAACCACAAGAATACATGCTGATTATAAAAAGCTCCAGTACTACTCTGTATGATACTAGAACAGTAGATACATATCATTGTACATTTTCCCAAACCCATACCATATAAAACAACAAGACTAAACCCTAATGTAAACTACGAACTTTAGGTGATAATGATGAGTCAAAGTAGGCTCATTAATTATAACAAACATACCACTCATATTTTGATAATGGGAGAGGGGATATATGGGAAATTTCTGTACTTTCCACTCAATTTTACTGTGAACCTAAAACTGCTCTAAAAAATAAAGTCTAGTAAAAAAGTCCTTGTACTTGTGGAACAGACATTTTAGTGGGGAGAAGTAGACAATAAACAAGTATAATACAACAGTATGTCAGATGTTGCTAATAGGGTATGTACAGGCGTCACAAGGTTAGGACAGGACTCAGCAAAAAAGTGATGACATTTGAGCTGAGATCTGGAAGGGGGTGAATAACGCTAGGTGGATGTTTGGCCAAAAGGATATCCCAGGAAGAGGGAAAACAGCAAGAATCCTGAGGGAGGTGATGCTGGCTTGATGAGAAGTAAAGAGGCAAGTATGGCTGAGGAATGAAGATGGGGAACAGAACAGTTGTTGGGAAGGGTTGTGAGGTCTGTGCAGGCCATGAGGAGGCCTTGGGATTTTCCTCTGAGTGGGATAAGATGTCACTGGGGATTGTGACCCCGGCACTCTCCTGATCTGATGTAGGTTATAACATGTTCCCTCTGGTTATTGTTGAGGACAGACTATAGGGGGCAAGGGCAGAAGGGGGGAGACCAGCGAGGAGGCTACTGCAACAATGCAAGAGGAGTGAAGATGAGCTTTGGGCCAGGGTGTTGGTGGTGGGGTTGGTGACAATTGTTTGTATTCTGGGTATACCTCCAAGATAGAGATGATAGAATCTGATGATGGCTCAGATGTGGGACAAAGAGCAAAATCAAGAATGATTTATAGGAAAAAGCAACACACGGAGTGTTCCTAATTAGAGATTTACTGATTGGTCAGCACGAGAAATAAAAACAACATGGGAGGATGTATGACAAGGGAGACCAGAACATGGGAAACCTGCAGTAGTCTTATGGACCCCCTTTTGCTTTGTCTTTTTGCCTCCGTTATATCACGTACCATGCCGTGTGTGTGTCTTGTCCATACTGACACTTCTCAACCCTTGCCCTCATTCCCCCAGTGGCAGAGGAAAGTCTCCTGGGCCAGGGCCCAAAACTTGTGGTGCCTCCCATCACAAGCAAGGCATTGCTAGTATTCTAAAATATTAATGTCGATGTTGAATTCTACTCCAAAATATTTATGTTCATTTCAATATATTCATTACTTATAATCAAGTCAAATTGCTTGTCTTGAGTGATGGGTCCCTGACATACACCAAGAATCCCTAAGGAGACATAAGGATTTTGAGACGCTCCAGGTCCATGCCATTCCCAGTGTACGCCCGGGGGTACTTCCTCCGAAGAAGAGCGAACTTATTCATAAACGAGCTGGTCCTTGAAGCACCTACAACGCTCTCAGGAATACCTGTGCTGAGAAGAGCAGGCAGCAGGCTAAGGTATAACACCCAATGCTCTTCTCACCAGCTTCGGCTCTTCCTTCTCTCCACAATAGTGCAGGCCCTTTCTTACAATTAAAAACATACGTCCTTTTACTCTGCAACATTCTACCCACCTTTGGTTTGTTTGTTTTTTAAAACCTTTCTAGTTTTTCTCAAATTTCACATTCTATTCAAGATGTCTTACATTACCATTCAAGGTGATAAATCATTCCAATGAATTCTTAGAGTGTTTATTTTCTGTGGGGAAGTATGATAAACCCTGGGAGGAGCAAGGCTTTGGAGTCAGAGGAGCAGAGCCCTAGAATCAGACTTACTGAAGCTTTAATGCAGGCGTTGCCCTTATCTGTGTGATTTTAGGCAACTTTCATCTCTAAGTCTAAAAGACAGAGTTAAGACAGGGCTGGCAGGATGATTAAATGAAAAGCATAGATGAAGCACCTAGCACAGTATACAGGCATTTGATAAATGTTAGTTCTCTTTCTCCCTTCACCTATTACTTTGTCACTTTTAATATTCTACCTTTTATGATTCTACCTTTTGAATCATTAAATGTTCTATATCTCGAACTAGACAATAAACTCTTATGGGTTAGAAACCACATCTTATATTTCTTGACATCCCCCAAAGCATCCATCACGGTGCCTTGAACATGGGAGATGATTAATATGTGCTTGCTGATAGATTGATTGACGCATTTCTTGGCAAGGTTAAAGCTGAAGGACGTATTTGCTCTCTGGACTCAAACGCATAACAATGAGCTTCAAAGAGGAAAATGAGCTTCAGCATTCACAGGGAAGGTCACTGCTTGGCACCTCTGGGAGACATGTTGCTGACGAATGAGGAGGATGCTGTGTGGGTTTCAGACCCTGCAGCTAGCTACGGGTCGGTTACCCAGGCAGACAGCGAGATCCCGATAACCTCACCAAGACCAAATTCATTTAGCAAGGCATTTCAACAGGCTGTCACTGTGGCACATGGACTGCTTGACTGCACAGCTGTTATTGTATACTTACAAGGGAAATTAGGAGTAATTAATAAGCTGGAGATCAATAGAAGTACTATATTGCAGTGAGAGATTAAATTTTCTTTGAGTTAAGAGGAAAGTGCAACGATCCCACATAGAGTAGAGGGATTGGTCACAGATAACCGCTACTCAGTTTCTTGATTTATATAAAAGTTTTACTTTTTAGCTTCTATTTACTTTTTGAAGAGATAAAGAGTCCATGCACATGGTAACTCAAACAGCACAAAATGGAACACAACTGTTACTCCCCAGAGGCACCCACTATTGTCTGTGTCTTGGGTGTCATCCCAGAGATGAGGCCCTGTGTGTATGTGTGTGCACGCACACATGCACACCTTAGCTAGAAGTATTTTTAAAAATCTAACAACTTCCTGCAGGTCTGCTATGTCTGTTTTGTTCATCTGTATATCTCTGGTGGCTGGTGCAGTGGTGAGTCCATGCAGTTAAAAATTCATGGTCAATAATTATCTGTTGATTGACTTATTTTATTCAGTGATCGACTAGATTTATTTCAGCAGTTTTTAAAATGATTTGCATAAGCTTGATACATCTTTATTGTGAATTAACTGAAGACATACAATTTGACATGTCTAGGGAACAGAGCATTTTAATTAATTCTAATTTATTGGTACAATAATTTAAAACCATTGGTGCAGAAACTGCCTGTTGAATATTCTTCA